TGCCACACAGTTTTAGACCCATCCTTTGCTGAGGGCCACCCAGTCATGTTCTGGAGGTTTGCCACTCAGTGGCATCAGGGGATAGGTTCTGTGCTCCCTGTGTGATAGACACTGAGGCCCACAGAGCCCAAGAACTTGTCAGTCCAGAGCGAATCTGTGTTGGAATCTTGGGCAGTTTTACTAGAAGGTCTATGCTTTCTTTTTTTTTAAATTCTATTTATTTATATTTTATGTGTGAATGCTTTGCATGTATGTATACCTCCATGCCAGAAGAGGGCATCAGATCCTATAGATTATAGATGGTTGTGAGCCACCGTGTGGTTTCTGGGAACTGAACTCAGGACCTCTGGAAGAGCAGCCAGTGCTCTTAACCTCTGAGCCGTCTCTCCAGCCCAGAGGTCTATGCGTTCTTGATTTCTTTCTCAGCCTGAGATCAGGATCCTGGCTTCGGGCTGTGCCCTCCATCCCTGCCAAGCCCCACCACTGGCTGGCCAGCAGACTGCTCCCCAGAGAGCTTCTATGGACTTACAAGGTTGTACCCGTGTTCCTTGGAGCAGCGTCCACATGGATCGCTTAACCTGCTGTCCATGTGACCACTTCTCAGGGACAACTACAGGGAGGGTTCGATTGAACTTTGGGTGACATTAGAGTCACCATTCAGCAGGCTCTCTATTGAACTGGAGTACAACTGGAAGTCTGAATAGTAGCTGCCTGGACAGCAAGCTCTGGTTGTCATGGTAACTTTCCCAGACTCTGCAGTCAAAAACAGCACCACTGAGCTTGAGCTACAAAGTGGGGATTCAGCAGTTGTTGGGGGTCTCACTCTCGCGTCTCTTGCTGTGTGCTTCAGAGTGCTGCAGCCTGAGGCAAGCGGGGAGTTGGGAGTGAGTATTTGCTCTCATCCGATTCCTGCCTGGCCTCTGGGTCACAGGTGGAGACTGAGCACCTATGGCATATGAGGTCCAGTGATGACCTGGGACCTGGGGAGGGCCATGCATTTAACACAGGGAGATGGCACCGACATCCCAGGGGCTTTAGGTCTCTAGTTCTGTGAGCGCCTATTGCTCTCTCTCTCTCTCTTTTTTTTTTTTTTTTGTTTTGTTTTGTTTTGTTTTTTTGAGACAGGGTTTCTCTGTGTAGCTTTGCGCCTTTCCTGGAACTCACTCGGTAGCCCAAGCTGGCCTTGAACTCACAGAGATCCGCCTGGCTCTGCCTCCCAAGTGCTGGGATTAAAGGCGTGCGCCACCACCGCCCGGCCTATTGCTCTCTTGTGTCTCTGGCAGTATGCTAAGCACCGGGGCCAGGGATGAATTTGACCGAGACCCTGCCCTCCCTCCTTCCCTCCGACAGGTGTCGTTCCATTGCCAAGGAAAGGAGTGGGTGAGCAACTTGGGGCAGCTGACGACAGGGAGGTGGCATGGAGGTGGCATGGCATCTCCACTTCTCTGGGAGTTAATCCCCTATTGTGGGGATTAACACGGCAACTCCACGTAGTTAAAAAGGAGGTTTATTTTGGGGTAACTTACAGCCAGAAGAGGGGTTGGTTACAGGATCCAGGAGAGGTAAGGTGTAGTCCAGTGGGGTTTTCTGGGGAACTTTGCTCGGTCTACCATTCATCATCCAGGATCACGAGGAACCAAGAGGCCCAGCATGTCCAGATCTCAGGTCTTAAGGGTTCCCATCATAGGTAGGCATGGCAGTTACCGGAAGCCTCAATAGGGGTAGTATTTCCAGGTCAAAGCTGGAACAACTACCCACTATAATCCCCCATCCTGAAAGGGCTCGGGATGGTCAGTCCTCCCCTTGCTCTGGACCCTGCAGCCTCATGGGGAAATGTCATTCTTTTGCCTCTTAGACTCATCTCTATTTCATTTTACATATATGAATGCTTTGCCTGAATATATGTCTGTTCACCACATGTAAGCTTGGTGTCCCCAGAAGCCTGAAGAAGGCATTGGATTCCCTGGAACTGGAATTACAGCCAGTCATAATCTGTCATGTGGGTGCTAGGAATTGAACCCGAGTCTTCTGGAAGAGCAGCCAGTATTCTTAACCACGAAGCCATTTCCACAGCCCTGCTTGCTAGCTTTGGACACATCAATAGGACTTGGTCGCAATGCAGTATGCAGGCCCTCCTTGGAGGGGAGTTAGCAGAGGTACTGGCCGAAGGCATAGGGCTGGTGTGGCCAGTGGAGGAAGCAGGTTTGGTGTCTCACAGTCCGGTGGCTTTAGGGTGCGTGCTGTCTAACCCGGGGCCAACCAGCTGCTAGGCAGGAAGTGTCACCATAGTCTGTTCAGACAAATGTGCGTTTTGCTACTCAGCAAATCTACCCGACTGTGATGCAGGACGAAAGTGTCTCCTTCGCAGCCTGGGAGTGTGGCTCAGTTGGCAGAGCATTGCCTGGCATGCACACATCCCTGAGTTCAGCGGCCAGCCCTGCACGAAGGAGGCATGGTGGTACACAGCCGTGATCGTGATCCCAGTACTTGAGAGGAGGGGATTTCTTTTCTCTTATTCCTTTATCTGTTGTCTCCTCACGCCCACATCAATGAGAAAGTCCCAGCAGAGCTGCTACCTTTGAAGTTGACTGTGGGTTGGGTGTGGTGGTGCACTCTGAGGCAGAGGCAGGGCATATCTCTGAGTTTGAGGCCAGCCTGGTCTACATAGTGAGACTCCCATCTCCGAAAAGTCTCCTTTATGATAAAATGTGCAAATGTGTTCTGGTGTCTTCTATGAGTGCCATGTCACTACCCTGGACTCCAAACCTGGAGCTGCAGCTGCCTCCCCCAGTTCTTTTCCAGATACTGGTTCCTTTAGACTGCAGTGAAGGGACTTCTCATCCGCCTCTCCCAGGCAGTGCTGGCCCTGTTACAGGCCAACGGCTCCCCCTGGTGGTCTCTAGTGGAACAGTCTTGGCTGTCAGGGGCTTCTGACATCTATTTTCTGAGAGGTGAGTGGGACGAGGAGGCAAGATCAGCTGTGGTTCTGGTGGACTCTGTACAGAGCGCTGTTCGGGTCCCACGTTTGCACGAGTAGAGGGGAGGGAGCTCGGACAAGCATTCGTCAGCTGGATGTGGTGGTGCACACACCTTTAATCCAGCACTCAGGAGGCAGAGCCAGGCGGACCTCTGTGAGTTCGAGGCCAGTCTGGTCTACAAAGCGAGTTCTAAGACAGCCAGGACTGGTTTTTTTTTTTGGGAGGGGGTTCGAGACAGGGTTTTCCTGTGTAGCTTTGCACCTTTCCTGGAACTCACTCTGTAGCCCAGGCTGGCCTCGAACTCACAGAGATCTGCCTGCCTCTGCCTCCCGAGTGCTGGGATTAAAGGCACACGCCTCCACCGCCCGGCCAGCCAGGACTGTTTACACAGAGAAACCCTATCTCAAAAACAAACAGAACAAAACAGTAACAACAGAAGAGTGCTGTGGGATGTTCTCTATGCTGTGAATGTGTTGCTCTGATTGGTTAATAACTAAAGTGCTGAAGTATAGGCAGGACAAAGGGAGAGAAAAATTCTGGGAACAGGAAGTCTGAGTCAGGAGATGCTGCCAGCTGTGGCCACCATGAGAAGCAGATGTTAAGATACTGGTAAGCCATGCGGCAAGGTATAGATTTATAGAAATGGGTTAATTTAAGATATAAGAACTAGATAGCAAGAAGCCTGCCACAGCCATACAGTTTATAAGTAATGTAAGTGTCTGAGTGATTATTTTATAAGTGGGCTGCGGAACTGTGGGGGCGTGGTGGAACCCGGAGAGAAACTCTCCAGCTACAGAAGAGCACCAGTGAGCTTTTGTTGTAGTGATTAATATCTGACTGAAAAGAGAGAAGGCCGGCGTATCCCGACGCTGATGGAACTAGCCTGTAGTGGGCTAGTTCCATTGCTTCTGGACCTTTCTGGAGTGGGTGTGGTAGAGGGGACAGTGAGGGCAGAGATACTCACCTCATGGATGCAGGAAGCAGAGTGGGAGAGGAAGGGTACAGGGGACAAGCTGTCCCTACCCTTTGAAGCATGTCCCAGGGACCTACTTCCTTCACTGAGGCCCCACCTCCTAATAGCCCATTCAGTATCGGCAGGTTGGTCAATCCGTTGATGAGGTTAGTGCCCTCATGAACCAGGGACTGCTCTCTAGCACCCCCAACTGGAGCCAAGTCTTCACTACATGAGCCTTCTAGGGCAACACTGCATGCATAATCTGGAACAGAGGGTGTGACCCCTCCTGCCCCACCCCGGTCGTCACTGGCTTGTTCCTCTATGGCCACCTCACCGTTTACTGTCTACTGTTTATTAGTTTACCGTCCATTACGTCCTTCCTTGGTCAAGGCGCCATGCCAAAGGCTGTAACGGAGTCTACTAACTAAAATGCACCTGCTCTTCCCTCTAGGCTGAGGGGCGCCCATCACACGATGATAATGATTCAGTTGCTTCACGATGACAAGTGTGGGGAAACACATCCTGACAGGGGCTGCACACTGCGTATGCTCCGGAGATCAGCAATCATCTTAACTACTGACCGTGGAGGGAGGACCCACTGAGGGCCCCAGAGCAGGAGATGGGCTTTAGTTGAATAAAAATAATACATTGCACGCTTTATTCTGTCTTGATGCACCATGGTGCTGGGAAAGAGAAGGTTGGCAGCTGGGTTGTGTATCGGTTGGTAGAGTGTTTGCCTAGCATGCACCAAGTCTGGCTTTAATCCCCAGTGCTGCATCAAACCAGATGTGGCTGTGCATACCGGTAATCCCAGCACTCGGGAGACAGGAAGATCAGAAGTTCAAGGTCATCCCCGTCTGTATAGCAAGTTTTGTTGCCAGTCTGGGATTCGAGAGATCCTGTCTCAAAAGAGGATGGGGATGAAATTCTCAAAGAACCGATAAAATCTATTAGGGGCCAAAGGGAGGGTGGAGGAGAGAAGAGCCGGCATGGTTCTCCCCTCTTCCAGAGAGGCAAGAAAGGGGAAGGGCGTGGCAGGGAGGAGAAACGGCTTTCTTTGCTTTCAGCTGGAATGCAAGAGCCGGAGGATGGTAGCCAGGAGGTGGACCCGGGAGCCTCAGAGAGGGCCAAGGGACAGGCCGCCTACTCCAGCCTGCATCAAGACCAGTGAGGTAAAACAGGTTTCCTTCCTGCAGAACTTCTCGGGACCATCACTGCTGATGAGAGAGAAATCCAGGAGCCGGGTGGGGCAAGTTTCTAGAGCCTTGGTTTAGGAGCGCCTTAGGGATGAATGTACAGAGGGGAGCCGGGTCCTCTGCTTTGCAGAGACTACACAGGCAGGATGGCTACTGTCCTTGGTGCCACTTCTGGGAAGTGACTGATCCTTCAAAGGGGCAGAGGTGAATTTCTTAGGCATGATCTGCTAGTGAGTCTTGAGCTGGTCCCCTTGACATGTGGCATACTGCAATGCAGGTGGTGTCCTCCTTTTCCTCTCTTGCCCAGCTCTGACGGACGGCCAGAATGACAGGATGTAACGGCCTGGAACAGCCAGGCCATTAGCGGGAGATGGATCCATTTATTTTTTTGCCTTTGACAAAAAGCTAAAAACAAGCTACTTGACGTGGATGCAGATGGAGAGCTACACCAGGGGCCTGAAGGGAAACACGTGCATCTATCTGGTCCTGAGTGGTTCTGCTTCCTCAGAGCTGAGTGTAGCCCGAGGCTTGGAAGCCAGACCAAGCATCTGCTCTTTGCTTGAAGACTGACAAGCTCATATGAGGCACCTTCATGGTGGCATTCTATTTTGGTCCTTTGAACAGAGCATCCAGGGGAAGAGACAGCGGCCCTGGTGAATGAGGTCAGCAAGGCCTGCTGGGTGTCCTGTAGTGGTCAGTAACAATGGAGGGCAATGTATCTGCTCGGATCACATCATTAACTATTTCAGTCATTGGTGCTGAGCATCCAGACCAGACCTGGTCCTGAAGATGCAGAGGCCAGGAGGACCCAGAAACCTCCTGGTGTAGAAAGAACAGCAGGCCCACAGCTGGGGGTTAGATGCCATCAGATGGGTGTGTGGGGAATATTCTAGAGGGCAAAGGTCACCTGTGCCAGTAGATATCAGGGCTCCTGGCAGAACCTGCACTGAGGTAGACAAATACTGCATGTCCTAGTCAGGATTACTATTGCCGAGATGAAACTCCATGACCAAAAGCAAGCTGTGGAGGAAAGGGTTAATAATATGGCTTACACTTCCACACCATAGACTATCACTGAAGGAAGTCAGGACAGGAAACCAACAGGGCAGGAACCTGGAGGCAGGAGCTGATGCAGAGGCCATGGAGGGGTGCTACTTGTTGGCTTTCTCAATGACAGGGTTTCTCTGTGTGGCTTTGGAGCCTGTCCTGGAACTTGCTCTGTAGACCAGGTTGGCCTTGAACTCACAGAGATTCACCTGTCTGACTCCTGAGTGCTGGGATTAAAGGCATGTGCCACCACCACTCAGCTCAGCCTACTTTCTCATAGAATGCAGGACCACCAGCCCAGGGATGGCACCACCCACCATGGGCTGGGCCCTCCCCCATCAATCACTAAGAAAATGCCCTCCAAGTTTGCCTACAGTCCAGTCTTGCAGAGGCATTTTCTTAGTTGGGGCTCCTTCCTCTCAGATGACTCTAGCTTGTGTCGAGTTGACATGAAGCCAGCCAGGACACTGCATGAAAGGACACTGACGTTGATGAGGAAACTGAGAGAGCTGGCTCAGAAAGACACCCTGAGCAGCAGAGAATTCAAAATGCATCAGAGGCGTGCCTTGGGGGCTCAGCAGTTAAGAGCATTTACTAGTTTCAGAGGACCCGGGTTCCCTTCCCAGCAACCATACTGGGTGTCTGTAACTCTGGCTCCAGGCCAGGGCCTCTGAAGCACCGGCAACCATGTGCACACACACTTACACATAATTCAAACCAATAAAAAGGAATCTTTAAAAAAGTCATGCCTTTGAAACATCTGTTCAAGACCCACGCACTTTAGTTTTCTGGACACAAGCTAGGGCCATCGAGGAAGAGGGTCTCTCATTGAGAAAAATGCCTCCATCAGATGGCAAGCCAGTAGGCAGCACACCTCCATGGTCTCTGCTTCAGTTCCTGCCTCGACTTCCCCTGATGAAGGACTGTGACCCGGGACATGTAAGCCAAATAAACCCTTTCCTTCCCAAGCTGTTTAGTCATGACATGGTATCACAGCAACAGGAACCCTGACTAGGACAACCCACCACCACTATTGCTGGTCCGGATGCCTGTCTCACTGCTACGAGTATTTCCAGCACTGCACCCCCAGAAGGTGGCACTCTCCCTGAAGAGGCGATGTCCAGGTGATGTTGTCCACTTGGCTGGCCCAGGGTCACAGACTAATTGCTAGATAGAGCTCTCCCGCTTCCACAGTGGGATAGGGGGGTTGTCTGTAGACGCCGGCAGACACAGAACATGCTTATATTCATGTAAACAACACATAAAAATGCAAACACATTTCTGGTTAATTCAAACAGTAATGGTTCAGTTGTTTCTTTTCTTTCTCCCCTCCCCCCGCTTTCTACCCCAAGCATGGATTGGTTAGCTTGCAGAAAGCTTAAAATAAAAATGTGAAGGCTTACAAACTCTGAGCTTCCCTGTGCCTCCAAAGCATGTGTGCATCCTTTTTTTTTTCCCCACGGCTTCAGACTCCTTGAGCATAATCTGCATTTCCTGCCTTTATTTTATTTTTCTTTTTTTGGAAGGTGGGGTGGGGGTGGGGGTGGGGCTGGGGCCTCTCTGTGTAGCTCCAACTGGCCTGGAACTATGTAGACCAAGCCGGTCTCTAACTCACAGAGATCTGCCTGCCTCTGCCTCCCAAGTGGAATGTTGGGATTGAAAGCATGTGCCATCACGCATGTTCATTCCTGCCATTTTCCCCCTCACCTACAGCTGTGTCTCCACTGATAAGGGCTCAGTTAACAAGTGACTGCTGTGTTAGGGACCTCATTCAGGGGTGCACTGATGAAAATGTACTCCTGACTCTGAAGGGGCCGAGGAGGTGTGCAGAGGGTAAGATTGCCAGTGTTACAGTGCATGGGAAGGGGATTGGTGTGATGGATGGGGATAAAACACCAGGCATGTGGTCGAGGAGCCGTTTACCTGTTTATTATTTTTCTATGTGGCCAGTTGATGTAAGCCGGAAGTCTTACATTTGAGTGGAGACTTGTAGGAGGTAGGGAATGAGGCTCGCCAGACTCCTTCAGGAAGCTGTGTCTGGGAAGATCTAGAGAGGATCAGCCAGAAGCTGGGTTTGGGATAGATAGATGCCTGGGGACAGGAGTGGGCCTGGAGAGGACTTAGCTTTGTGCCTGCTGGGAGCATGGAACCCAAGCCTCTGAGCTCAGGATCTGTGCTTTTCCCACAATGCTTTGTCTGTCCACTTCTGGGTGGATACTGCCCTGCTGTCTCAAGCTGTCATCCCACCCCAAGTGTAATTCTCCTGAGTCACCTCTGTATCTCTCCAGTCCTGCTGTGCTCAGCTGTGGGGCCCAGCCCAGATAAACTTCTGTCAGGGGCAAGGCTTCCAGGAGGCTGCCCGGCCTGCCGGGACTGTGAAGGGTGGGTAGAACCTGGGAGAAGGTTCACAGCCATCATAACAGCTTCTACCAACTGGTGCTCACAGCTTGCTAGATACCACAAGGGCTGCCTCTCTCCAGATGCCTCACTGCTGAGCACTAATAGCACATTTGGAGAAAAAAAACCAAATATTTATTATGACTATGTGCTCAACATCCAGCTTGAGGATCAAACTCAGGTTGTGGGGCTTGTGAGCTAAGTTTTTTTTTTTTCAAAGATTTATTTATTATGCATACAGTGTTTCTGTCTGCATGCATGCCTGCATGCCAGAAGAGGGCATCAGATGTCATTACAGATGGGTATAAGCTGCTATGTGGTTGCTGGGAATTGAACTCAGGACCTCTGGAAGAACAGCCAGTGCTCTTAACCTCTGAGCCATCTCTCCAGCCCTGTGAGCTAAGTTCTTTTGCTGCTGGGCCATCTTGCTGGCCCCAGTGGACCATTTGACATGAGCGAGGTGAAGGAGTGTCAGAGTCCACGCTGGAGAGCAGGAGATCCGCAGAGGGAAGAGTCAGCCTGAGCCTGTGGATTCCAGAGACGCTAACCCAGGCCCTGTCCCTGTCCAGATCACTCCTCCAATGAATCTGACCTGTAAACGTTCTCAGTGTTTCTCATCAGAGAGGTTATGTGACACACAGAAGTGTTAATTTCGCCCCAAATTCTAAACTGTCAGCTATTAAAATGGCTCTATAAGGTTGGTGCTCATGGCGGCTCACAACCACCCTCTTCTGACCTCCCGGGCACCAGGCACACACACGTGATGCACATAGACATGTATGCAAGTACAACACTTAATACACAACACACACACATACACAAATACTCAGATCTAAAAAAAAAATATTTAAAAGTTCATGCTTAGCCGAAGGATGGGAGATGGGTGATAAATGTCTTTAATCCCAGCAGGTGGATCTCTGAGTTCGAGGCTAGCCTGGTCTACAGAGTGAGTTCCAGGACAGCCAGGGCTACACAGAGAAACCCTGTCTTCAAAAAGGAAATCTCACGTGACTGGCTGAGTCAAGGGCATCTAGTGGATGAGTAACAGGGACATTCCAGCCTCTCCCGTTAGGTCTTTTGCTCCGTCCCACTGACCACTCTTGCAGGAACACTTCTGGGAAGCTCATCATTGCGTCACGTAAAGCTGATTTTCCTGGGTTTTGCCTCCCACTTACCATTTAGCTAAGATGAGCGGGTAGTCAGAGTGGCCATAGGCGTCTCATCCATCCCAATCTGACTATCCCCTTCCTTCCTCCTCTCTAGCAGAGGGATTTCTATCCTGCTAGCAAATCTTTGTACAGGTTGTTCTGGGTCTTCTAGATCAGAATAACTTTGGGGTCCACTCCCTTCTTCCCCCACCCCGTAAACACACACTTGGTATTAGAAGTTACTAGCTCCAGGGTTCAATTCCCAGCACCATATAGACCAGGTATGACGTAAACCAGACATAGTGGCACATACTTGTGATCTGAATACCTGGGGGGGTGAGGACAGGAAGAGCAGGGTTTTGGTTGTTTGTTTTCTAAGATAAGGTTTCTTTCTCTATATAACAGCCTTGGCTGTTCTGGAACTTGCTCTGTAGACCAGGCTGGCCTCAAACTCAGAGATCCACCTGCTTCTGCTTCCCGAGTGCTGGAATTAAAAGCATGCACCACCACCGCCCAGCAAAGATCCTGTCTTAAATAAATAAGGATTTTTTTTTTTTTTAAAAAACTAAAGTGTTGGGGCTGGAGAGATGGCTCAGTAGCTAAAAGCACTTGATGCTTCTGTGGAGGACCTGAGTTCAGTTCTCCACACCAACATGGTGGGTCACAGTGGCTGTTAACTCCAGTTCCAGGGGATCCAACACCTTCTTCTGGTCTCTTCAGGCATACATACATGTAGGCAAAACACTCATACACATAAAATAAAACAAAAGGAAAGAAAGTAATCTATAAGCTGGGTATGGTGACGAACATCTTTGATCCATGAGTTAGAGGTATTCAGATCTCTGTGAGTTCAAGGTCAGCCTGGTCTACATCATGAGTTCTGGGCTAGCCAGGGCTACATAGCGAGATCCTGCTTTAAACTGGTCGGTAGTGATGCATGCCTTTAATCTCAGCACTTAAGAGGTAGAGGCAGGTGGATTTCTGTGAGTTCAAGGCCAGTCTGGTCTACAGAGCGAGTTCCAGGACAGCCAGGGCTACACAGGCAAACCCTGTCTAGAACTCCCCCCCCCACCCCGTCCCCAGTGCAAAACAAATGGAGTTGTAGATGATACCTTCTTACTCTTCTTCATTTTGACAGCTGATCCTAAAATTAAAGCTAGTCTAACATCACAATGCTGTCTTTATACCCAAGAAAAGTAACCATTTGCTGTATAACCTAGTATTCAGTTGTGAAAGAAATGTGAGGTGCCAAGATCAGACTGGAGTTGCTTGTGGCAGCCCTAACCAATGCAGAGGCAGGAGGCTGCCGAGGAAGGGCTTGGACTAGCACAGCATGTGCCGTTGGAACCACAAGCGGGCAGAGGCCACCTCAACCTTGCACAAAAGTACTTCTGCAAGCTCAGGTCGGTGTTCGGCCTCGGGCCAAGGCCACTCCTCTTACTGTTCGTCGCTTTGGCAACAGATGATTATCTTAATGTGTGATGGTGTCCTAGGAGGTTAGAAAAGGATGTTGGATCCCTGGAACTAGCGTTTCGGATGGTTGTGGGCCACCACGTGGGTGATGGGGACCAAACCCATGTCCTCTGAGAGAGCCACAAGGACTCTTAACCACTGAGCCAACTCTCCAACTCCCTAAATTCTTGCTTATTGATTTATTTAGAGATCGGGTCTCACTATATTGCCTAAGCTGGCTTGGAGCTCACTCTGTAGACCAGGCTGGCCTCTAAATGACAGATCCACCTGCTTCTGCCTCCAAGTGCTGGGGTTAAAGGTGTGGGCCATCTCCCCCGTTCATGTTTTCTGTACGTTGGGAACATTTGGAATAAAAACTGTGATTAGGAGCAAGTGCCACCACCTCGGGCACAAGTCACTTTCGAGTGCTCAGAAGAAAGCAATGAACTTCATACACGCGCAGAAGAGGATTAGGCAAACAGTACTGGAAACAGCAAATGAACACTGGTGGACGAACCCTGGAGAGTTCACTGTTTCTTGCTTTCTTTTTTATTTTTTATTTTTTTTTGGGGGGGGGGACAGGGTCTCTCTATGTAGTCTTGGCTGTCCTGGAACTCACTCTGTAGACCAGGCTGGCCTGGAACTCAGAGATCCGCCTGCCTCTGCCTCCTGAGCGCTGGGATGAAAGGCGCATGTCATCACCCCCTGCTCACTTTTTCTGTGTGCTGGGAGCATTCCTAAAAAAAAAGTTGTGTGTGCCGGGCGGTGGTGGCGCACGCCTTTAATCCCAGCACTCGGGAGGCAGAGCCAGGCGGATCTCTGTGAGTTCGAGGCCAGCCTGGGCTACCAAGTGAGTCCCAGGAAAGGCGCAAAGCTACACAGAGAAACCCTGTCTCGAAAACAAACAAACAAACAAACAAAAAAAAAAAGTTGTGTATGTGTGTCTGGCAGGATGGCTTAGCAGCCAAGCCTACCTTCATGAGTTCCATCCCTGGGACCCCGCAGAATAGGAGAGATCCAGCTTCCACAAGTTGGCCTGTGACCCTCACACTAGTGAGTCCCACCATATCACACAAAATAAACTTCCAAACAACAACAAAAGGAGTCAGAGGGGGTCTAGTGGTGGGACTCAAGGTGCTTTGGGGCCTTGGTAGTTTCCATGTCTCTCTGGCCTTTATTTCCTTATCTATAAAACAGGCCTAAAAATACGCATTTTTGAAAGGACCAAGCAGAGGCCATAACAGGCTGCTTAGTCTTCTCTCAGAGATCAGGCCTCAATTTCAGTTTCCTGAGACTTGAGCAAGCAGTTTCTGGGAGGGCCGTGAATAAAAGACACAGTCCTTGCAGTAGCTCCCTTTCTGCACGTACTCTGACCGCTCAAGGTTCAGCCAGCTGTTTACCGTCTGGGACCCCTCACCAACTTAGAGCTATGTGCATGGGTCAGTGCGACAGCCTGGGCCACTGCGTCAGCCCCCACAGTCAGAACGTGTTAGGCCAGCCAGCCAGCCAGCCTCCATGGCAGCTCAAGGCCAAAGCCTGGGACTTGTCCAGGCCTGCCCCAAAATGGTTAACTGTAACCCCCCAAACAGGAGTAAACTCTTAACGATACGAAGACTCTTTGCTTTTGCATGGGATTAGGTCTCTTGGTGGTCTTTGGGGGACTCTGGGTAACAATTTTCCCTTTTCATCTGGATTTAAAATGTACATGACCGTGTCCAGCTGTACAGGGAGGGGCTGTGGGTGCTGGGCCTATATTTATGTCAGTCTGAGGCAGGCAGCTGAGTGGCTTTGCTCTTGATCTTCCTGGGTCCTCCATTTCCCCACCACCAAGCCAGCGCGGGCTGAGGGTTGGCGGGGCTTGCAACGGTCAGATTGAAGCGGAGCCGACCAATCACGGAGCAGAGGTCAAAACTGGCGCCCAAGCCAAAGCGTGGAGCTCCTGACAGGTCCCGGCGCCAGGAAGCAGAGGCGGGGCTGCCCATTCAGCTCTGCCGCTTGGCGGCAGGAAGAGGCTCTTCAGTGGTTACTCTCCGGGAGGAGAGACTGGCGGCGACCTTCCCCCTCCTTCTTTCTCCAAGGGATGGGTGTGTACTGAGAACACCAGGAGTTAGAGCAATCAAAGGCGGCCCTCGGTTAACTGAAAAGTAGAATGTGAAATCAGGCATTTTACACACACACACACATATACCTTAATAATTTTGTTAGGGATGGTAATGGCACCAAACCACCAAAAAAAAAAAAAAAAAAAAAAAAAACTCATTGATATGGCCCAGTTGGCTTAGCATGGAAGACATCCTGGGTTTTGTTCTCAGCACCGTATAAATTGCGCGGTGGTGGATGGCCGGTCTAATGTCCGCACCTGGGAGCTGGAGGCAGGAAGAGATCGGTTCAAGGTCATCCTCAACTACACGTGGAGGTTGAGGCCAGTCTAGGATACTAAGATCGTTCTAAAAGGGGTCGGGGAGACCACTTGTTTGGGGGATGGGTACTGGTGTGTTTGCGTTGGTGCAACTGAACATCTCTGCCATTTGTTTCAACTGCGGAGAGCCGCGGGCGAGGCGGTAACAGAACTGTCGGAGTCGGAGCCGCCACTTTGTGTTCGGTGATTTTTCACCACCTCTACCTAGAGAGAGCTTCAAGCAGAGAGGAGCCTCCCTCACCACCCCCGAGGGTGTCCGCAGTGGGAGCATGCCCAGGTTGCACGTTCCTCCCCGGGGTCTCGGCGTTCCCTAGCCGGCATCTAATCTCTGGTATCTCGGTGCCCTTCCCCAGGGGGCAAGTCCGAAAGCCAGCTACAAAACCAGATGAAGACGGGCGTTCCTGTCTCCACCCTGACCACTGGAATTTTCAAACTCGTCTTCCGACTATTGGACGCCCAGTGAGTCGTAAAATGAACGTATGACTCGTAATCATCCTCTGAAGTTGCTGGAATTCTCTTTTTTTTTTTGGCTCGGCCTGCAACTTCTAAAACAGGCGGGACACAGGGGACAGGGCCTGACACTACCCCCAAGGTGGTCCCGGTACTCCTTGAGTGAGTTTAAAGTTTTATACCACGGATCGCCTTCTTTATTTTCATTTTTTAAACGGGAACCCTCGTTTAAAGCCCTCCCCACGCTTACAAGTCTCATGACTGGGGACCCCGAACCTTTAAGAAACCAGGTCCCGGGTGATACGGGAACCGCGGTCCTAGCCGGACCCCCCTCACCCCCATACTAGGGACGCAAGAGACAGGGAAGGCGGCGTGTCCCAGCGGCCCGCGGGGTCTCGCCACCCAGGGCACCCACCTCGGCGGCAACGCCCCCGCGTTCCCGCGCCCCGGTCGCTCTCCAATCGGCGAGCCGCTCGCAACCCCAAACGGTTCCGGCCCCGCGAGCGCCCGCTCGCCCCGGGGCCGGCGCAGACTCCGTGGAGGGAGAGGTCTTTGTGCCCAAGGCCGGCGGCGCAACTCAAAATCTCCCGCGCTCGGCGTCGAGGGGGGGCGGGACCAGCCTCGACCAATGGGAAGCGTCGAGAGGCGCCGGCCACGCCCCGTCCCGGGCGCTCGGCGCCGGCCACGCCCCCTCCCGAGCGCGCGCGGCGCCGGCCTTTTAAAGGGTGCTGGGGCTCGGCCGGCTCGCCTGCAACCCGGGTTCCAGCTGCCTCGCTTTCCTCTCGTCGCCTCAGCCGCTGCCCTCGCTCGCCATGCTCTCCGTCCGCGTCCCGCTCGCCACCATCACCGACCAGCAGCAGCTGAAGGTGTCGCCGCTGAAGCGGCTCAGCCTGGCCGAGAAGGAGAACACGGTGAGCGAGCAGCTGCCCGGGGTGCAGGCGGGGTCGGCCAGGGGTCCCGGACCCGGGCAGGGTGGAGGGCTTCCCACCGCCGCTCACACGCACGCATGTGTCCCTGCAGCCCCCGGCCCTCAGCGCCACCCGCGTCCTGGCCAGCAAGGTTGCGCGGAGAATCTTACAGGACTCGGCCCAACTGGTGAGTGGCTCCGGGCTAGGCTGAAAGTGTGGGGGGGGGGTTCCCGGAGCTGCCGCCAGGGGGCGCCCGCCGTTGGCGCCAAAGCTGCATTGTCCCAGCTGTCTGTCCGTCTCTCCCCTTTCCCGCCAAAGTGTCTGCTCGGGTGGGCCTCCCAGTGAGGAGGGTGACACCAGCATGCCGTGTGACAGCTGACCACAGGAGGGATTGACAGCCCTTGAATGTATTTGATCTGATGAGAGACGCTGGAAAATTTCCTATGGTTCACTTGGCATTTTGGGGGGGGTGTTTTTTTTTTTTCTCACCCGACAGGAAAGTAAAGTCTCTGCTAACCCCAGCGTTGAGGATGAGCCGTTACTGAGAGAGAACCCCCACCGCTTTGTCATCTTTCCCATCAAATACCATGATATCTGGCAGATGTACAAGAAAGCGGAGGCCTCCTTTTGGACGGCTGAGGAGGTACTCAATCAGGGCTTGCTGGGTCAGAAGGCTCCTGCATGGCCAGCGTTAAACGAAGATGCTCCTAGGGTTAAGCTTGGTTGTTCACAGAGGTATCAGGTATTTTCATGAGCCAAGGGGATTCTGGATGTGAGGAACACAGTCAGCAGATGGTGTTAGGGGACTTAAGTTTTCAAGGGTGTGGTGTGTGTGTGAGAGAGGAATTTCTGCATACCTGGTAAAATTGTCAACTTCTAAACGTCAGGTGGACCTTTCCAAGGATATCCGGCACTGGGAAGCTCTGAAACCCGACGAGAGACATTTTATATCTCACGTTCTGGCTTTCTTCGCAGCGAGCGACGGCATAGTCAATGAGAACTTGGTGAGTTTGCGTGACGTACCTGTAGTTCACTTACAGAGGTAGCAGTGGTGTTTGACTTTTTACCTTGTTCTGTGAATGGGGGCTGGGGCGATGGCCCCACTCGGTGGTTAATACACTTCCTGCTTGTGCAGGAGACCCAAGTGCTGTTATGAGTACCCCGATTGGGTGGCTTCACATCTGCCTGTGACTCCAGCCCCAGGGGAATCTGACGACTCACACTGGCCTCCTTGGGCACTTGCCTGTACATGCACGTACCCATTCAAAGGCATACACAAGTAAAATAAAGTCTTTAAGAACCATGAATGTATATGTTAGCATTCATCTTCGTTTTTCCTCTCAAGTTGCAGTGGTAAATTTTCTCTTTGTACCTACCACACTTGTCTTTCTGTGACTTTCTCTAATAATTTGGTTGTATATTTCTTATTATAAGTGGATTAACCAAAAGAGAATGGGTGAATAATAAAATGTTAAGCCCTGCCAGGCCTGGAGAGTGACTCAGCGGTTAAGAGCACTTGCTGTAACTCCAGTGTAATTTCCCCTGGATCTGACTGACGCCCTTTTCTGGTGCATAGACATACATGCAGGCAAAACACCTATCACATTAAAAAATAGTTTTAGCCGGGCGGTGGTGGCACATGCCCAGAGGCAGGCGGATTTCTTTGAGCCCAAGACCAGCCTGGTCTACAAAGTGAGTTCCAGGACAGCCAGGACTGTTAAAACAGAGAAACCCTGTCTCGAAAAACACAACAAAATTAACAGTTTTGTTAAAAACCCAGCAAAATAGGAGTCATGTTTCCTGTTGGTAAATTGAGCGTATGATGTAAAATGATGAGCTTTATTGCAGAATCGTGAAGATAGGAGCAGACTTGTTTTTTGTTATGTTTTACTTATATTTTTGAAATAAATTCTCACTGTAATTCTGGCTGACCTAGATAGAACTCAGTAAGTAGACCAAGATGGCCTCAGACTCAAAGATTTTCCTACCTGCGGGTGCCTGAGGGCTGGAATCAATCCCAGCAGGCTCAAAGGGCAGAAGGTGATACAACCAGTGGTTTTTCAGGTTTAAATTTATTTTATTACCACTAGGTGGAGCGATTTAGCCAAGAAGTTCAAGTCACAGAGGCCCGCTGTTTCTATGGCTTCCAAATTGCCATGGAAAACATACATTCTGAAATGTACAGTCTCCTGATTGACACCTACATTAAAGATCCCAAGGAGAGGTGAGTATATACATGGTACGCTAAGGTACTCAGGATGCATTAACTTACTTCAAGTATTTTTGTTCATAAAGGGAGCGTGGACGGAACGACTGAGACTGTAGATATTTCTAGTGCCCTTGGTCATGAGTGCTTCGAGCAAAGGGCCTCAGTTCACTTTATTAGTTACTGGAATAAGATCCAGCGTGTGGTAGCTCATGTCTGTAATCCCAGCACCCCAGAGACCAGCAGCAGCATGGCTAAGAGCTCAAGAGCTAGCCAGATGAGATACTGTCTCTAACATCAAACACCACACCAGGGCCTGGAGAGATGACTCAGTGGTTAAGAGCACCTGTGGCTCTTTCAAATGACCTAGTTTTGGTTCCTAGGTTGGGGCAGCTCACAACTGTTTTAACACCAGTTACAGGGGGGGAAATATGATGCCCCCTTCTGGCCTCCACAGGCACTGCTTGCATATGGTGCAAAGATACATTCAGGCCAAACACTCATACATAAAAAATTAGATTTAAAAACGTGGCTACGAGAGTTGGCTCAGTGGCTAAGAGTACCAGCTACTCTTCCAGAGGTCCCGAGTTCAATTCCCAGCAACCGCATGGTGGCTCAGAGCCCTCTGTAGTGGAATCTGAGGTGCCCTCTTCTGGTGAGCAGGCATACATGCAGGTAGAATACTCCACTAAATGAAGAAACGTTGGCTACAAATGATTATAAGAAATGAAGTGGGCCGGGCGGTGGTGGCGCATGCCTTTAATCCCAGCACTCGGGAGGCAGAGCCAGGCGGATCTCTGTGAGTTCGAGGCCAGCCTGGGCTACCAAGTGAGTTCCAGGAGAGGCGCAAAGCTACACAGAGAAACCCTGTCTCGAAAAACCCAAAAAAAAAAAAAAAAGAAATGAAGTGGAGATGAGGGGAATTACATACTCTTACCGCTGAGTCAAAAGATGAATTTTAGGCCAGTTTAGTGAAATGTTACTCCACACTAGAGACTATAGAAGAGTAAAGAAGGCTTTTATGTGGTGGAGGTAGGGGACGGAGAGTCAGGGTTAGGGTGGCCCGTCAGCATCAGGATGGAAAGCTGATGTGGGACAGAAGCAGTGAATCGGGCCTACACCACAGCTCTTGTGCTGCCGGGGTCTGTGGTAGAGTAATCCACGCTATGCTTCTGCCTGCAGGGAGTATCTCTTCAATGCTATCGAAACGATGCCTTGTGTGAAGAAGAAGGCCGACTGGGCCTTGCGTTGGATTGGGGACAAAGAGGCTACGTACGGTAAGGACACCTTTTCTTCCTTACGCCCGAACTCGACTGTCCAAGTAATGTCACTGGATGGTGGCCCGGGCTGAGAACACTGAGCCCTCACTGAGAACATTTTGGTTTCCTAGGAGAACGTGTTGTGGCCTTCGCCGCCGTGGAAGGCATCTTCTTCTCCGGTTCTTTCGCATCCATATTCTGGCTCAAGAAGCGGGGACTGATGCCCGGCCTTACATTTTCCAATGAGCTTATCAGCAGAGACGAGGTGAGTCTGTAATAACTGATCTGCGGCTCTTAGATGTGTGCTCCTGTGTCGATGGACAGGGACCACTTCCAAAGAGAGCATTCGTTGTGTGGAAGGATTGGCCTGCAGAGGACAGGAGGGAGTGGGATGCCTGACAGGAGTTACAGACGGTTGGGAGCCTCCACGTAGGTGCTGGGAACTGAACCAGACTCCTTAAGGAGCAGTAAATGCTCATGACTGACTGCTGAGCCGTCTCAAGTTTTGGGGATCCAACCCAGGGTCTCATTGTTTGCTAGGCAAGTACTCTTGCCACTGAGCCACATTCTCGGCCCTGTATCCACATTTAATGTGTGAATTCAATCATGCGTAAACTCAGCAAGCAGTAAAATACCTTAAGGAATGAATTGCAACTGCTCCTATTCTTAGTACATATATTCCTAGTACCCTGTAGGCTTGAATGCACAAACAAAAGGTCTGGATAGGATTTCTAGGGTCTCGTAAGACATCCTTTGTGTGTCTTTACTTACAGGTTAATTAATTGGTAAGGCCCTGATGTGAGGTAAGAGTTTCCTTGGGATCCTGTAGGTCTTTGGAGTAAACTGAGGAAAGACAGAGAAAGTATCTATACTTAATAGTTGGTCCAACCTGAAAAGCAAGGAGCAGGAATCCCAGCATCCCTGGAGCCCAGTGGGCAGGGCAGGTGATTCTCTTCCTGTGTAGGAAGATGAGCCCTGAGAATTACTGGAGCCTGATGTGCTAAGAGTCACTGGTTTACCTCATCTGAAATTGTATCTAAAAGCTAACTGACCCTCCTTGTTGAGGAGAACTGGAGCTCGAGGCTGTGTGGAGATAGCTGAGCAAAGATAAGCCTCTTTGGATATCGGAAGGGGATAGGCCTGGCCTTACGCTATAGTAGGTGGCAGCTTTGACGGCCTTGAGTTGGGATAGCCTACTCCTAGGCATCATAATTGGCAGTTAAGCACCTGCTTTCTTTTCTTTTTTTCTGGTTTCTGATTTTCAAGGCAGGGTTTCTCTGTAATAGCCCTGGCTCTCCTGAATCTCACTCTGTAGACCAGGCTGGCCTTGAACTCACAGAGATCTGCCTGCCTCTGCCTCCTCCAAGTGCTGGGATTAAAGGCGTGCGCCACCACCGCCCAGGCCACCTGCTTTATTCTAGTCTGTAGCCTGGCTAGCCTGGAACAATATAGGCCAATCTGGCCTCAAACCCATGGGTGGTTGTGCCGGTGTATACTACCATACCAGGCTTAAATACCTTCCTTTTGACAAGCCACGTGCTCTAGGTGTGGCCAGACTACAAAGATGGATAGAGCAATTTTAGTCCACACAGGTGAACGATAGGCGTCTTCTTCAGCCTCACAGTGGTCTTGAACGTTCCCTTCCAGGGCTTACACTGTGACTTTGCCTGCCTGATGTTCAAGCACCTGGTACACAAGCCATCGGAACAGAGGGTAAAAGAAATAATTGTCAACGCCGTGAGGATAGAGCAGGTGGGTGACGTGTGCGGGTGGCCCTTGCACTTGCTGGCGGGGTCCCAGGCTTCAGGGTGCTCAGAAGCTCTGCTCGGCCTCTAGGAGTTCCTCACGGAGGCCTTGCCTGTGAAGCTCATCGGGATGAACTGCACTCTGATGAAGCAGTACATCGAGTTCGTGGCCGACAGGCTGATGCTGGAGCTGGGCTTTAACAAGGTAAAGTGTTATTTATGGCCTCCCCGCCCCTGCACCCCCTCCCCCTTTTTTTTAACTTGTTTTCAGGATTTATATCTTGATGTGACTTTTTCCAGATTTTCAAAGTAGAGAATCCATTTGACTTCATGGAAAATATTTCACTAGAAGGAAAGACAAACTTCTTTGAGAAGCGAGTGGGCGAGTACCAGAGGATGGGGGTGATGTCGAGTTCAACAGAGAATTCTTTTACCTTGGATGCTGATTTCTAAGTAAACCGATGGTGCTCTTTGCTGATTTTCCTCCCCTTGTCATAAAAAAAAAAAAAAAAATCAGCAAAAAAAAAACAACCCAAAAAACAATCAACTAGCTACACCATGAATGGTCATTAAATTTGTTATCCGGTATCTAAAAGCTGTGTAGCTACCTCAGTTGGTACTTTTTTTGCTAGTGGGTCACTAGCAAAAAAGAGAGGATGTTTACCAACAAAAGGGGAGATCCTGTCCTTGGTCACCTTGGGCTCAACGCGCCCGCTAACAGCATTGATCCAGGCTTTTTGAGAGGCGGCCCTCCAGCAAGCAGGACTAAACATTTAGTTGCCGAAAGGCCGTTTAAAGATGTCAGCCTCATCCACTCCTTCCTGCGGACTCTAGAGTTTACTTAAGTTTGTAAATAAAACTGGCACTTTGCACATAGTCAAGGAGGGGCAGAAAGCCTGGTTAATTTGGTTTCTAGACCAAGCACCAAGTGTTCTCTTTACCACTCACTGATGGCAGCTGATTAAAATCTAAGTGACTAAGAAGTTAGTGCTGGGTAAGCATGTCATTTCCAAAGCTTGGTGTTCTTCGGTGACTTCAAATGCTTTTTCATCAGCTTTGAAGTCAGTCCTGTGAGATCTAGGCATTAGCCTGCTGGTGCTAGTCATGGACAGGGTGAATGTTACCCCAGAGATCAGGGCATCTCCTGCTTCATAGAACTTCCAGCTTTGAGTCTCTAGAAACTTAGGCGGGATTTGGGACACTTGCTGGTTAGCCCAGGCCCGGTCTTCATTTGTATGAAAAGCAGTATCTTTTTTTTTTTTTCCCCAAGTTATACTTTGCCCCATTTCTAGTTTGTATGGAGTCCTGAAAAGGCTTTATAAGGTAGGATTTTCAATAGTGACCCGCACACACTCTTGATTTTTGTCAGTAGTAAAGCTCTGGCTGAAATCAGCTCTCCTAAAAGATGCAGGAGGCTTTTGATTGTGTGAACAAGTACTATTGAAATTGGATCCACTTATTAACTGACGAGACCTGGAACTTGCTGTGTAGACCAGGTTTAGTCTCTTAAACTTGCCTATGTCTCCCAAACACTGGGATTAAGGTTTGTGCCACCATACCTGGCTTTACCCGGTGAATTCCTAAACGCCAGAAACCAGTACTACATGGGCTGTTAATGTGTATTCCACTCAGATTGTCAGGCTGAAATGCAGACCAGTAGATACAGCTAACAGCTAGTGTGAATTAATCTTTTATGTGCATTGATCTGTTTTTGTGTTTAGGGAATAATCTAGAATTCACCTAGTGAGTTTGAGAGACTGGTTAGGGGTACATAAGTGGAATTGTCTTACATCAAAACAGCGAAAGCAAGTGTGTTAACTGATGTGTATCAGCTGTTTGACCCCCGGTCGCTTTTCTTTATTGTTTTGTACTATGAGATTGTTTATACTTTTTAAATTATTTTTATTGTTGAAATTAATAAAAAAAAGTCTCAAAATTGCATGGCACACAAGTGTTAAATGATTTAACTGAAACTGCTCTTGATGCCAGTTCTTTGGGTAAAATTTACATTGTGTTTTTAGAAAGTTTCTCATTGAAGCTAAGGGGCTTGTTTCCTCCTTGTCAGCTCTGGGGGAGATTTTCCTCTTACATAGCACATGTAGGAAGTAGATATACCCTGGGCCTCTGTGTGTGGGATCTGTGGCACCAGGTCTAGTCCAGGCTCGCTTCAGCCTCTTGAATGCTGGGGTTACAGGTGTATACCGCCATGCCTGACTTGGGATGGGGACAGTAAAATTGGTCTCACGTACTCCAGGATGGCCTTGAACTCCCGACTCTGCTCAGTCTTCTAGGTGTTGAAGTTCTTATTCTGACAACCTTGGCTAGGCCACTTTCTCATCCGAAAGCATCCAGCTACAGGGCTTCCAAGAGGGAGCCTGACTCCGCTGTCCCTCCAACTGGTGTGAATTAGAGTTCAGGCTAGTCTCTATTATCTCAGGTCCGTCCTTGTCTCCTCACATTTCTACAGCCTCTGTGACCTGAGATACTGTCAAACCAGCCATTCCTGAGGGCCCTGTCACTGCTGTGCTGTGGGCTCTCTTGTTAGGCCCTTCTGGGCTGCGCTGTGGGGCCAGGACCCAGAAGTCCCTCCATGGGGAACTTGCTGAGTGAGTGGACCTGGTGTGTCATACTGCAAAGGGATAAGGAAGGTCACATGTATTTCTCCACACCACCACATCTACAGAGGTGGCGTGGCTCCTGCCCGTGAGTGCTCTCGTTCCTGCTTCTGTAAGCTCAGCACATCTGTACTGCCTAGCATGAGACCTTCAAGGATGGGTGACAGGAGACTGAGAAAAGATGAAGTGTTTGGTCTGAGGTCTATGTCCAAGAGGATGTCATCAGGTTGTGGGCAGGGCCCCCTGGGGAAGGACAGGTTACTGCTTTAAGAGGATCTGTTGTCACAGCAGCCTTGCTGTGGACAGACCTGGGTCTTATTCTGTGACAGCAGTGGACAGCGGCATTGTGGGACAGTAGGAGAAATAAGTCTTATGCCATAGGGGAAGGGCCACTTGGGTTGCCCTGGGGTGCACCTGGGCAGCCCATGACTTTCGTCAGCTCACCCTCTAAGTTCTTAGGCATTTGGATCTGGAAGAAATGGGGCTACCTGGCATAACCTTCAGAAAAGGGACTCGGTGTGGGATGTGCATTGGTCTTAGATGTGTTTTTGGCTCTGTACAAGCTCCAGACAGGCTTATGTAAGGCTACATTTCATTGCACGGGAGCACATGGAGGTCTTGTCTGCTGAGGTGGAGCCTGCCTGCTGAGAGCAGATCTGTGATACCTTTCTTTTCCCCTCTGTCTACTAGTCAATGGCATGGCCATTCAGAGTGCTTACTGCCGGGCGGTGGTGGTGCACGCCTTTAATCCCAGCGCTCGGGAGGCAGAGGCAGGCGGATCTCTGTGAGTTCGAGGCCAGCCTGGGCTACAAAGCGAGTTCCAGGAAAGGAAAGCTACACAGAGAAACCCTGTCTTAAAAAAGAGTGCTTACTTTTGTGAAATGGAAACAAGATGATTTGCTAATACTCGGGCTGAAGGGCTCCCTGACTATCTCAGTGTTACTGGGGGACCAGTGGCCCCTACTGATAGTAGTCTGGAGTTCCTGATAATGGTTTTGCTTAGCAAGATGTTCCAGGCCTTGAATGTAAGTGGCTGTAGGGGGTTGTATGGCCTCTTCAGATGAGACAGCCTCCAGTGTAGACACCATCTTGGTGTCTGGGCATCACGGAGAACGCAGCTGTGACCCCCTCCATGGGTCTGGTCTGGCAGTTTTCAGACAGAAGCAATGATTGACAAAGGTGTTAGGTTTTACTTCTGCGAGATCGTTTAGAATGTGAGAGACAGCCAGAGGTGGCGGGCTGCCTGGCAGGGAGGAAGTGGATTGTATGCTATGAAGCCTTTCTTTTTTTTTTCTCTTTGATTATCGGACCATTTTGCATTTAAAGAAATAAAAACTGTTTTGTACGTGATGTAGCCTCTGAGGGAATTTCCCAGGGGAATCCTAGAGCTGGGGACTTCAAAGATTCCATCTACTCTCTTGGTGGGGTAGGTAGGGGAAGGAATCAGCAGAACGAGGGGGCCACACCTGCCTGTTTTCCTTTATGATTCTGCTGGCCAGAAAAGGAGGCACAGAGCCTTCTCTTCCAAGGAGTTTCTGGGGGTGCTGACCCTCTGGGGAACTGGGAGTCGGAACTCATGGGAACACAGGCGTTGTCTCCCACTGGCCCTCCCGCTCCATACTCTCCTCTGAGACAGGGCCTGGAACTCATGTAGACCAGGCTAGCTCTAGATTCTAATTCCCCTGCCTCTGCTTCCTGAGTGCTGGATCAAAGTCATATGCTAGCACATCCGAGTTAAGGGCCTCTCTCGGGTCCTCTCTGCCCTCTTTAGACCTTCTTCCTTCCCTGGGTCTTCGCCATGCTGACCGGAGATTGCTGGGTCAGGCAGCAGGGCTTGAAACCACTTCCTAGTCTGCGCCTGCTGCTCGCGGGTGACCAGCAGGCTTCACCTGATTCGGGGGGTGCTTCTGACACCTAAGGCACGCACCCCAGCTGTCACCCCGATGTTATTAGTATGTGGTTACAAGGAGTGTCGGGACATCCAGGACAGAGAGGAGGCAGTGGCCCCAGGTGGTGGGATCCTCATCATTCCTCAGGTGACTGGCTTGGCGGTGGAGCTACCCAGAGCAAATGCTGAGTGGATGTCCCAAGGGGAAGTAGGCCCAGCTGGAATCACTGTCTCTAGCATTTGCTAGAATGGTCCCCATGTTTTCCCCAACAAGGGATGCCCCATTTGGGTGTCCCATAAGCATGACTCAAACTGCACCCCAGTTCTGCTTAGCTCTCATACCCTGTTTCCCAGTTCAAGGAATGGGGAGCCCCGCCCAGGGTAAGGAGGTAATCCAGGCCTCACTGACAGCTGCTATTTTTACCTGTGGCCAGGAGAGGGAGCTCCTGCCTTCCGACGTTCCTCACCAGGCACCAGGCCTCCTCTCTGCCTGCATGGTACCATCCCCTCTCACCTGACTGTCCTTGCTCATGGTCAAGCCACTACGTTGCATGACCTCGCCCTCCATCGGGCTCAGTCCAGGGTTTTTACCCACCCTCTCTGGAGTCTCCCCGACCAGAGCCGTTTCGCCCCGACCCCTCCCATTTCTCATCGGCCCTCTATCGGGCCCCACATTGGCTGTAAACTCAACCCTTTGGCCCCAATTTAGAGAGCACTGGGAACTTTCCCAGACCAAGCCAAGCCAAGTCAGGACCCCTTTTGTGACCTCTGGGTCTTTAACGGTGTGGACCTGAGTTTATCACCCCGAAGGAGACTCTCTTTGCATGCTTTTAGAATGGTTCAGGGAAGGGACGACTGGCCTGGGAAAGCTGCTGTGTCCAGCGCATGAGGCTCACACCATAGAGACCACCTGAGGTGGTGAGTGCAGAGCCCTGGGCACCAGAATGCGTGGTGGTACTCAGGCTTCCCGCTTCTTCCCTTGCTTAGCCCTCTCCCGTCCTGGCTGTCCTTCCTCATCTTCATCCTGGCTGTCCTCCCAATAGCCGTGGGTGCCCACGGCACGCACCCAGGTTGCCATCTCCTCCCCGTTCACAGGTTTGCTGTGACGGTCCTTCAGCCTGCAGAGTGGCTGGCAGCTGGAGCGTCAGATCATGGGGCCAGAAAGCTCAAGGGAAGACCGAGTCCCTGGCTTTCCCTCCTGCGCATGTCCCTCGGTTCTGAGCCAGGCCTGTACTGTGTCTTTAGTTGGAGGGACTGTGGTAGGCAGCTTCCTCCTCTTTCACCGCGGGCTCTCCCGAGGGCAGAGGTGAGGTCTCAGAGCTCTCGCTAATGCAGTCTGTTCTGCTTGTAGTTTTCCTGGGAACCAGGGCTTATGCAGATGTCCATATGATGGGGCCAGGGAATTAGCTTTATGGAGCTGTTGGCAGGGCATCATTTGGCAGCCCTGTGCCTCGTCAGATTCCTGGGACTTTTGAGCCACAGCTCCAGCTGCATACAGCTGCCCACCCTCTCCTAACACTCAGCTTCTGGGCCCCAAACATACAAGCAACCTTACTATCCTGGCCCTTCAGTGATCCCCAACAAACTGTCTGGCATGTAGGTGGGTTTGCTATTTTTAGTAGCTAAGTTGTTGAGACATTGGAAAGCCTCTACTTCTTTTGGAACAGAAAGCTTCCAGAAGCATTTTTATATCTTTGCTTCTGTGGAATTCAGGAGATCATCTTTACCTGGGGAGTGTCAGCCAGTATGTGTGGGAGGACAAGGTTGTCTTGTGGGAAGAATCAATTAGCATTCATGTGCTCTGATGGTGGGGGTGGGGTGGGGGTGGGGAGTGGGGGGCGATTGGGAGGTGTGCAAATTCATTGCTCAGGCTGGAGTGTGGTGGCGCTGGGTGGTGGTGACTTTTTGTTGTTTGAGACAGGGCTTCTCTGTGTAGCCCTGGCTGACCTGGAACTTATTCTATAGACCAGGCTGGCCTAGAACTCACAGAGATCCACCTCCCTCTGTCTCCCTTGTAGTGGAATTAAAGGCATCTGCCACCGTGCCCGGCTGACGGTGACGTTTGAAAACTAGCTTGAGCACGAGAGTGGAGTCACCAGGGCTGCTTTCAAAGGGAGACGGATGGTCTTTCTGTTGTAAGTAGATATCTGTGCTAGGGGAAGGCTGGAGTATGGTCGGTGTCTCAGGCACCAGGTGGGCAGGGGAGCGGGGGTCAGGGCCAGGTCTGAAGGGTCTCTTGTGCCCTCTTAGATTCATTTCTGTTGCTGTGATGAAACACTGAGACTAAAATCCACTTGAGGGAGAAATGGGTTTATTTCATTTTATTACAATCCCAGGTTATTACCATTGTTGTGCGGAAGTCAAGGCAGGAACTTCCAAGCAGCTAGCCACTCCACACCCGATCAAGAACGGAGAGAAATGAATGCACTTGCTTGCTTGTTTGCACTCAGCTCAATCTCTCCACCCTTAGACAGAGCAGGGCTCCTTGCCTAGGGAATGGGGCCGCCTGTAGTGGGCTGGTTCTTCCCATATCAGTTAACCTAATTCAGACAGCCCTCCACAGACGTACCCACAGGTCAACCCAACGTAGACAGTCTGTCACCGAGATTCTCTTCCCAAGATGATTCCATATTGTGTCAAATTTATAGATAAAACTAACCATGGCAAGGGCCGTACAGTGTATTCCAAGCCCCTCCAGCCCCAGAGACTGACACCATCAGATTTTCATTTCATAGAAGCCTCTGACTTGTTTTTTATTTTGGTTTGTTTTGGTTGGTTGCTTTTTCTCTTTCTTTCTTTCTTAAGATTTATTTATTTATTATGTATACAGTGTTCTGTCTGCATGTCTGCCCACACACCAGAAGAGGGCATCAGATCTTATTATATGTAGATGGCTGTGAGCCACCATGTGGTTGCTGGAAATTGAACTCAGGATCTCTAGGAAGAGCAGCCAGTGCTCTTAACCTCTGAACCATCTCTCCAGCCCTGAGCCATCTCTCCAGCCCCTGGTTGGTTGGTTTTTCAAGCCAGGGTTTCTTTGTGTACCCCTGACTGTCCTGGAACTCGCTATGTAGACCAGGCTGGCCTTGAACTCAGACACACCTGCCTCTGCCCCTGAGTGCTGGGATCAAAGGCGAATACCAGTACAACCTGGCTTGTTGCTTTGGTTTTTGAGACGGAGTCTCCTTTAGTCATGTAGCACAGGCTGGTGTTGAACTTACGATGTAGCTGGCCATGACCTTGAACATCTGGTCTCACCATGCCTAATCCATGTGGTACTGGGGATTGAACCCAAGGCTTCAAACATGCTAGACAAGCATTCTGCCAACTGAGCTATAAGCCCCCAGCTCACCAGCTCATTTTTTATGTGGAGACCAGCTGTGTGTCAAGAGCAAGCCACCCCGCCATGTTCAAGACACTTTCCTGCATTCTGTTCTCTTTTGTGTCATTTTATTTTATTTTTTTTTAAGATTTATTTATTTATTATGTACACAGAAGAGGGTGCCAGATCTCATTACAGATGGTTGTGAGTCACCACGTGGGTGCTGGGAATTGAACTCAGGACCTCTGGAAGAGCAGTCGGTGCTCTTAACCTCTAAGCCATCTCTCCAGCCCTCATTTGTCATATTTTAAATGCTTGCAACCCTCCACATTGATTTCCTGCCTCTCTCAATAGTCTTGCTCTGCAGTGTTCATCGTACTGGGTTGCAGAGGGACAAGCCAGAAGCCAAGGCCAACACTGATGAGATTGGCGAGCACTCTGGAGCCAGCCCTGGGGAAAACAGAGGTTCCATCGAGGTGATGTTGCCCCCTAGGACTTAGAGGTGTCTCTGGTCTGGAGGTGCTGTATGTTCTTCTCAAGTGACATGGTATGCCCTGCATGCCACTGTGGGGTCTGTGGAGGATCAGAACTGTGGTTTCATAACTCACACACACCGTCTGGTGTCTGAGAACCACTTCATTAAATGTCATGTGGATTCAAAATAGAATCATATCTCTGAGACAAAGCCCATTGAGCCAGGAGCCAGCACAGGATTGGAACAGGCAATGTCTCACTGGAGCAGGGACTGCAAGCCGGAGGCTGCTGTCTGGGGACCAGCACACTCCATTCTTTTCTCCGTTCACATCTGTCTGGACTTCCTAGATTTGGCAGGTGATCTCAGAGCCTGGGGGTCTGCAGTGCGTTGGAGGCAGCCAGGGATAAAGGAGGACAGGTCCTCTGTCATACTCTCAGATGAAACTGTGCAGCTCAGAGTGCTCCCCCTCCACAGCTGAGTGCTCCTCCCTTCCCTACTGCCCCAGCTGGATCCTCAACTGCCTCCAGGGAGGTGCTCTGGGCCAGGAGCATGGACCTGGGGCCACACTGTTAATGAGAAGCAGAGGTGGTTTGAACATGAGCTCGAGGCTCCAAGCCCAGCCCTTTCCTTAGCCCGAGCTGCCCCGTTCCTGAGCACCTTGCTTTCAGTACTAGAGAGTCGAACTGCAAGGGCATGAGTGGATTTGGTAGAATGCTTGGGGGAGGGCTTTTGGTCCACCATTTTTAAGGCTTCTTTGTAATTCTAATGTGTGTCATGAAATACGGATGGAAAGAATGGTCTTGTGTCTGCCGTCTGTCCCCAACCTTCTGTCTATCTGGTCAACCATTGTGGGAGAAGGGGTCTGCTAGCTCAGACTCTGCAGCCTAGAGTACTCCCCTACCACAACTGAGTGCTCCCTGTTCTGTCCCAGCTGAGTTCGCCTCCCTTCCCTACTGTCTCAGGTGAGTGCTCCTCCCTCCCCTCTGCCCCAGGTGAGTGCTCCTTCCTCCCCTCTGCCCCAGGTGAGTGCTCCTTCCTCCCCTCTGCCCCAGATGAGTGCTCCTTCCTCCCCTCTGCCCCAGGTGAGTGCTCCTTCCTCCCCTCTGCCCCAGATGAGTGCTCCTCCCTCTATTGTCCCAGCTGAGTGCTCCTCCCTCCTCTATTGTCCCAGCTGAGTGTTCCTCCCTCCTCTATTGTCCCAGCTGAGTGCTCCTCCCTCCTCTATTGTCCCAGCTGAGTGCTCCTCCCTCCTCTATTGTCCCAGCTGAGTGCTCCTCCCTCCCCAACTGTCCCAGGTGAGTGCTCCTCCCTCCCCTCTGCCCCAGGTGAGTGCTCCTCCCTCCTCCACTGCCCCAGGTGAGTGCTCCTCCCTCCTCCACTGCCCCAGGTGAGTGCTCCTCCCTCCTCCACTGCCCCAGGTGAGTGCTCCTCCCTCCTCCACTGCCCCAGGTGAGTGCTCCTCCCTCCTCCACTGCCCCAGATGAGTGCTCTTCCCCTCTGCCCCTGATTGATTTTTTTTTTCTTTTTGACTTCTTTTTCTTTTTTTGAGACAAGGTTTCTCTATATCGCCCTGAACAGCCAGAAACTCACTACATAGACCAGGCTGGCCTCGAACTCACAGAGATCCACCTGGCTCTGCCTCCTGAGTACTGGGATTAAAGGTGTGCGCCACCAGGCCTAGGGGATCCGGTGTTGCTATTGCCCGTGTGTGTGTGCATGTGTGTGTGTGTGTGTGTGTGTGTGTGTGTGTGTGTGTGTGCCCGTGCACACCTGTGCGTGTGTTTGTAGTATGTGTGGTGCACGTGTGTGTGCGTGTGTGTGTGCGTGTGCGCGTGTGTGTGTGCGTGTGTGTGTGTCTATGTGTTTGTAGTATGTGTGGTGCACGTGTGTGTGCAGAGGATGGAAGCCCACAGCTGACTCTGGATGTGTTCTCTGATCTCTCCCCACCTCACATACTGAGGCCGGGTCCGTCCCAGCCTGGGGCGCACTCTTTGACCCAGTCTGCCTGGGCAGCTTGCCCTGGCGTCCTGTCTCTCCTGCTCACACGCTGGGATTCTGTGGCCACTGTGCCCCCCTGGCTTTCCCATGGGTTCTGGGGATCTGAACTCGGGTCCTTGTGCTGTGAGGCAAGCGCTTTACCGGCTGAGCCGTCTCACTGGCGCCCCGTGCGCCTCACTCCCGGTCTGTCCTCACGTGATTGATTTCTCCCTTCATGCCTCAGTTCATCGGCCTGGGTTCGCTCTTTCGCTCTGCCTGCTCCCGAGCTCTAATGTCCCCCTCACTGCTCCTGCTTTCTCGATGACTGCTTTATTCATTTTTGTTGTTTAATTGACAGCGAAAGGCTCAGTGGCAGTTCCCGTTGGGTCTGGTGACATCCTCACTAGTACGCTGTCACCTACTCCATGCCTTTCCTGTCCCTTTCTTCTTTCTATTCTGTTGTCCTTCGGCAGCTTTCTGAAGGTTCCTACCCTTGCCTCTCCTCTCTTCTGCGTCTTTTACCTGTTGATGGTGAGTGAGGGGGGGCTAGGATCTACCGAGACCAGGGCACTCATTGTGTCAGGGCTGTTGGAAACAGAGGCTCCCCCTCCTCCTCTTCCTCCTCCTCTCCCTTCTCTTCCTATCCGTCCTCCTGCTCCCCATCTCTCCTCCTGCTCCTCCTGCTCCTCTCTTCTGCTTCCCGGATCCTCCTGCTCCCCATCTCCTCTCCCTCCTCCTGCTCCCCATCTCCTCCTCCTGCCCCCACCCTGCCCTGTGATCTTTGCTGGGGCAGATATGGTTTATCGGGGAGTCTTCACTCTCTTGGCTTTCCTGCTTTATCCAGGCTGCCAATGCTGCTGTTCCAAGCTCCTGTGCTCCACCCCGATGCTGACGGGATGCTGGTGAGCAGCTGGGCTCCGTGGTCGTCACTTCCTCACGGCTCTGCTCTCTGTTGTCTGGCTTGGCAGCAGTCTTTGGGCTTATTCTTGGAGTTTCCACCTCTCTTTTGTGTTCCTTGGAGGAGTTTGTATCAGAGACAGAGTTTATATTCTGTTTGGCTTTCTCCCTCTTCCTTTGGGATGCTTTTCTTTCTTCTTTTCCTGGCTTATCGAGATATAATTGGCACACAGCACATGGTGCCTATTTAGTGCGGTATCAGTTTAATATTGTATCATTTTGTTACGACGGTGAACCACCAGAGGCAGGCCAACTTTAAGAAGAAAAGTTCACTTAGCTCAGTGTTCAGCGTGGCCCAGCTTCTGACACGGGAGCCAACAAGAACAACCGATCACATTGAAGAACAGGAAGGCTGAGAAGCTGGGGTGCCCACATTTCTCTCCACTGACCTAAGCCGCCCCCCTGCCCCGCCTCAGATGGCAGTCCTTTGAGGACCTAGCTCTCATTACACAAACCTCAGGGAATGAACCCCAGCCCAGCGGTAGTAAGTCTGTAGTACTTAATAAGTTGCTTTGTTTTGCAGTAGTGAATACTGAAACTGGGACCTTCTATGAGCTGGGTAAGCACCCTACCACTAGCTAGATCCTTACTCTCCTATTGAGAAGTTTGCCGGAAATGTCTACTACAAGGCCGTCACAACTGAGCCAATAGCATCCCTATCCCATAGTTTCCCCCAAAGATCACAAAGGATTTATTTATTTATTTATTGTTTATTTGTTTGTTTTTTTTTTTGTTTTTTGAGACAGGGTTTCTCTGTGTAGCCCTGGCTGTCTTGGAACTCGTTCTGTAGACCAGGCTGGCCTCGAACTCAGAGATCCACCTGCCTCTTCCTCCTGAGTGCTGGGATCACAGGCATGCACCACCACTGCCTGGCTATTTTTTAATCACGTTTATGTGTGTGGGTATGTGCCCGTGAGTGCAGCTACCTGGGAGTACAGGTGCCTTTGGAGGGCAGAAGAGGGTGTTGGACACCCCTCGCCCCTGGTGCTGAAGGTATATAGACAGTTTGTGAGTCGCCCCATGATGATCTGGGGGCTGGGAATAGAACTTGGGTCCTCTGCAAGAGTAATATGTGCTTTTAACTGCTGAGCCACTTCTCCAGCCCCAGAAGTAGATTCTTATGGTATGTCTTTTATCAGGCCTCTCCAGGTTGGTTGTAAGTGCCCTGAAATCCATCAGGTGCTGTGTGCAACAGCTGGATCCTTCCTCTCACCCCATTGTGGTTCCTTGAATGACATCATACCATGGTCCGCTCCGGGTCTCATTCACAAAAGGGCGTTCAGCTCCTTCTTGGCTGTTCTGTTAATGCACTGTGGGCACCTTCGGATCTCACTGGCCCGGGCTTTTCTTCCTCTTGGGTGCGTCTGTGGGAGTGCCGTGACAACCAGCTCATGTGGTCAGCATGTGTTTAACTTTGAAGGAAGTTGTCGAATTGCGTCATTTTATATGCCTAGGGGCACATGACAGCCGTGTGAGGGTTCTGGTGCCTTCGCCTCTGTGCCAGTGGTGGCGTGGCAAGACTTAGATTTGATCTATCCTCGTGGGTGGCTAGCGTGCTCCCTTGTGGTTTTCATTTAAGATAGCTGGCAGCGAGCGTCTTTTCTACGGCTGAGTTTTCATAGTTGTGCTGGCTAGTTGGACACAAGCTAGGATCATTGGAGAGGGGGGAGCTTCGGTTGAGAGAAAATGCCTCTGTAAGATCCAGTGAGCAATCATGGAGGGCATTTTCTTAATTACTGATCGGCGGGAGAGGGCCCAGCCCATGGTGGGTGGAGCCACCCTTGGATAGGTGGTCCTGGGTTCTGTAAGAAAGCAGGTTGAGCAAGCCATGGGGAGCAAGCCAGTAAGCAGCACCCCTCCATGGCCTCTGCATCAGCTCCTGCCTCCGGGTTCCTGCCCTGTGTGAGTTCCTGTCCTGACTTCCTTCGGTGATGGACTGTGCTGTGGAAGTGTGAGCCAAATAAACCCTTTGCTCCCCAGCTTGCTTTTGGTCACGGAGTTCCATCACAGCAATAGTCACCTTGACTAAGACAGTAAATAGTCATGCAGCCGTGTGCTTTGTTGCGCTGTGGTAGTCAGTGAGGGGCTGCACCTACCTGTTTGTGTGACCACAGTCTTGTTTGCTTGCTTTTGAGACAGGGTTTTATGCAGCCCAGGCTGGTTTCAAACTCACTGTGCAGCCAAGGATGATCTTGAACTTCTGACGGGATTCCAGGCCTGCACCACCATTCCCGGTTTATTCGGTTCTGGGGATTGGACCCGGGGCTTCAGCGTGCTAGGCATGCAGTCTAGCAGCTGAGCCATATCCCCCACCCCAATGGTCTCTATAAGGAGAGAACAGTTTCTAGGCCTGGGTGAGCTAGTAGTGCTGATTTGATGCTGTGAGCCAGGGAGAAGGTAGCTTGGGCATCGGGGTTCTCTGTGGGACCCCGATGTGAGTCTCCTGGAGAGCTGTGAAAGACACCCGGAGCCTGCTGGTCATACACAGGAAGAGAACCAGGCGCTTCTGGTCTACCTGCTTCGAGCTGAGCCACGACCATGTGGGCAAAGCGGCTTCAGATGCTGGAGGGCATGGCGGCATGTCCCAGGGAGGAGCCTCTGAGCTTACTAGTTCATCCGGCTTTGGGTTTTCCCCAGAGTCCCAGGGCAAGGGGCTGAAGCGGAAGAGGAATGACAGGGAATGGGTATTGTGCCTGGGCAACAGGGACAGATGGTGTACCCTGAGTCTCGGGCATGGGGCTGAGACAGCCCACGTCATTGCAAGGAGGCCTGATACTGAGGCCAGGAGGCAGCACTATACCTGGTGCCTTGGGACATTGTCCAGAAAGAGGCCTAGGGTGACAAACAAAGGCAGGACTTTATGTCAAGGACAGGGTCGCCCAGTGGTTATCAGTGAGGAAGTAGTATATATCCCCACATAAGTTCGTCTAATGCGAGCCTTCCCAGCAAGCTGATCAATATTGCTAGTTCTGATGTGACGGTGAGGTGTCTGGATTGGGTCAGCCGAGGGGTGAATGAATGCTGCCTTAGGAGGCCCCTGGAGTTCCCATCGTCAGCGGCTCGGCAAGGGAAAGGTCACGTTCAGTTCTGGTGCAAAGGTCCCATTGTGAAAGCCTGAAGAATTCCAGTTCCTCCCAGCTCTCCCCCAGGTTTTTGGCAGCCTTTGTATGTAGCTTGAGTTTTCCTGCCTGGCCCACAGTCAGGAGAAATCTCTCTCACCTGCCAGTCCCACAGCCACTCAGACCCGACCAAGTAAACACAGAGACTTGTATTGCTTACAAACTGTATGGCCGTGGCAGACTTCTTGTTAACTGTTCTTGCAGCTTAAATTAATCCATTTCTATTAATCTATACCTTGCCACGTGGCTCGTGGCTTACCGGCATCTTCACATGCTGTTTGTCATCTTGGCAGCTGGCAGTGTCTCTCTGACTCAGCCTTCCACTTCCCAGCTTTATTCTCCTCCTTGTCCCGCCTACACTTCCTGCCTAGCCAATGGCCAATCAGTGATTTATTTATTGACCAATCAGCAACACACTTGACATACAGAACATCCCACAGCATTTGTAGTCGTGACTCTGGCTGGGGTCATGATACAGCCAAGGAGACAGTCAGGGGAGGCCACATCCTCAGGACCCTCATCAGTGTAAGATGAGGAAGAATGCTTAGGGGAACTGGGCCAGTCCTCTGTGTGTGTGTGTGTGTGTGTGTGTGTGTGTGTGTGTGTGTGTGTGTGTACAGCCATGTCCTAAGGCCTGTGCTATGTTTAGGTGCTGGATGTGGGCCTGAGCTCTGTGAGGACCAGAGATGAGTCAGTGTGGTTCTTGCCCTTGGGGCCTTCAGCACTAGAAGGCTGGGGCTGGCCAGAGACCCAGCCACAGGGGAAGACGTCGTGGTCTTCTCTGTCTGCCTCGCTTGTGATTGCTATTTTCTGTGTTCCACAGGGTGGAAGTTTCAGGACTAGCTGCAGTGTGGCTAGCTGTGTGCTAACAGGCAGGTCCATGAAGTAAAGTATGTAGCTCTGGAGTCAGGCTCTGCATTTCCATGGTCCCCTCATGAGCTTTCCTTAAAAATCATTATTATTATGTTATTCCTGGCTGGCTAGAGTCTTCAGAGAGGAGGGAGCCTCAATTCAGAAAAAGCCTCCATAAGGCTGGGTTGCAGGCAAGCCTATAGGGCATTTTCTTAATTAGTAATTGATGGCGGAGGGCCCAGCCCATGGTGGGTGGGTGGTGGCATCCCTGGGCTGGTGGTCCTAGGTTCTATAAGAAAGCAGACTGGGGCTGGAGAGATGGCTCAGAGGTTAAGAACACTGGCTGTTCTTCAGTAGGTCCTGAGTTCAATTCCCAGCAACCACATAATAGCTCACAGTCATCTGTAATGAGATCTGGTGCCCTCTCCTGGTGTGCAACCATACATGGAGGCAGAATGTTGTGTACATAATAAAGAAATAAATCTTAAAGAAAAAAAGAAAAGAAAGAAAGCAGACTGAGCAAGCCAGTAAGCAGCACCCCTTCATGGCCTGTGCATCAGCCTCCAGGTTCCTGTCCTGTGTGAGTTCCTGTCCTGACTTCCTTAGACAATGAACAATGATATGGAAGTGTGAGCCAAATAAACCCTTAACTCCTCAAGTTGCTTTTAGCCATGGTATTTCATCACAGCAGTAGTGACCCTAAGACAATAGTAACCCTCCTCCTTCCGTCTCCCCAATGCTGGATTACGGGTGTACACTCCCACACCCAGTTTATGTGGCGCTGTGGAGCTGACTCAGGGCTTCATGTGTGCTAGGCATACACTCTGCCAACTGAGCCCAGTCCCTAACTTTCCATTTCTGGGCCAGTTACTGGCTATCTGAGCTTCAATTTTCTTGTCTGTGAAGTGGGGTCACCCAGAGCACCTGGAACAACACCCGCACCGGCAGAAGCTTCCGGAAGCCCTGCTGCCTCCACCGTCAGCTTCCTGGCCTTCCCAGAGGGTAACTAGAGGCAGAAACCTTTCCCGAGAAGCCCAGGAGAAGCGGGATGGCAAGGTCTTGGAGGTTGGGTGAGGTCAAGGAGGGGGACCCTGACCCCTTCTGTTACCTGCTGACCTGTGACTGCAGCCATTGGGGCAGGATAGAAAGAGGGAAATTAAGGGATGTGTGCAGGGAAGGGAGCTCCTGGATGCGGTGTCTGGTTGAAACTGCTCACCAGTGAAGAGTCAGGAACTTCTTCACAATGAACAATGTTTGCTGTGACATTCTCTGGCATGGCAACAGTGTTCTTTCAGAGAGATACTGTCAAATACAGATGTTAAAATAGCCGGACAGTGGTGGCACATGCCTTTAATCCCAGTGTTGGAGAGGCAGAGACAGATGGATCTCTGAGGGTTTGAGGCCAGCCTGGTCTACAGAGCTAGTTCCAAGACAGCCAAGGCTACACCAAGAAACTCTGTCTCGAAAAACCAAACCAAACAAACAAACCCCAAAGTATGTTAAAATAGCAATGGACCACATTTAAGGTCTGAGCACATAGATTTTTTGAGATGTGAATTTGCAGTCTTCTGGGGCTTTTGCAAACAAGGTCATGACATTTTCTCTTTTGAGGCATGGTCTCATGTAGCCCAAGCTGGCCTTAAACCTGCTTTGTGGCTGAGGATGACCCGTGTCCTGGGATTGCAAGCATGTTCCCATTGTTGGGTCTGGGGTCTCTC